TAATGACGATCTTCGTTTTCTTTAGAAAACTGGTTGTCAATGGGTCACTGGCCTGTTTCTTAGTATTCTAGTTTCGTGCAAAAAGACTAGGAAAGTTCGAAATCGTTAGAATAGGCTTCATTGGATTTTATTGTTGTTGAATTTTATTTGCTTCTAATGTTGTTACAGTAACATGATCATTATTATCATTACTGTTTCTATTATCATGTATATCTTTATTATCGTAATGTTATTAGAGTAGTTTTTGCTTATGATATTGTTGGTGATTACTTGTATTCATTACTCTATATTACTACTATTTTATTTTTCTGTATGTTTTTTAATCTCGACAGGGGGCGTGGAAAAGACATTTTCCTGTCCCTCTGTCCTGTCTTGTGACAAAGCTCAAATAAATAAATGAATAAAATGACATCTATGACTAACCGATTACATTTTTTCCTGGCTAGCCCTTTATAATAGCTTTGATAGCTAGATTAGCAGCCGTGACTATCCTTGTCACTAAAAGAAAATAAAATAAAATCGAATAAAATTAAATAAAATCGAATAAAATTGAATAAAATCGAATAAAATCGAATAAAATTAAATGAAATCGGATAAAATTGAATAAAATTAATTAAATTTAAATAAAATCGATTAAAATTAAATAAAATTAAATAAAATTGAATAAAATCGAGTAAAATTAAATAAAATTGAATAAAATCGAGTAAAACTAAATAGAATTAAATTAAATAGAATTAAATAGAATTAAATTAAATTAAATTAAATTAAATTAAATTAAATTAAATTAAATTAAATTAAATTAAATTAAATTAAATTAAATTAAATTAAATTAAATTAAATTAAATTAAATTAAATTAAATTAAATTAAATTAAATTAAAACGAAGTTAATAACGTAACCGTACAATGTTTTATTAATGTGAAGTTTCAGTTTGTGAACAGCGTTGTGAACTTATTCTATAAAAGGTTCTTATGTGTAACTCTCAATGCAATTAAATCTAACCATAGGGCATTATAATAGTGTTATTAACCGTTCATGGATCCGGATTTTGTAGCATAAAAGTCAACAATCTGGCAAGACAGCTGTTTCCATCTTACACATAGGTGATAATGTCGATTATGCATCTTAAGCCATCAATCTCTTTATTGTAATTGAATCTTGTCTCAGTAATAAGCAAGAGTTATTTTCAGGGTGCTCTAAAAGCATCTATTTCTTTGTGAAAACGCATTATGGCAACATGAAATAATTCCGCCATAGTAAAACAAGAATTGTCGTCAAGGTGGTGATCTATCGCTTACGAGAAGCTAACATTTAAACTTGCTTAAAATTTCATTAAAATAAGAGGAATTTTAATTTCAGTTACTCACGTCACAATTACAATGTAGGAAATTGTAATCCCTAGAGCAACGACTTTGACAAATATGCGAGCTATTCACAACTTGAATATAAAATGAAAATGATACTTAATATGATAAGAATATAGCTTGAAGTCTGTCTTAAGACCTGTAACTCGTTATCTTACAATTAAACTGAATCTTCAAATATGTCAAATCTTTTTTGTCCTGTCACACAACAACAACAAGAATGTTCGAACTGCAAGTCTCCCCAGTCTAAGAACTACTTTTAAGACAGAAGTAATTATTTCAGGATGGGAATATGAACTATAGTGTACCATGTTAATTTTTCTCTGAATTTTTGAGCCTGCAAATTGCAAGCGTTGCCTTTGATGTTGTTACAAATTCCAGGTTGCTAGATCCTCTCAGCCCCAAATGCCAAATTTGTTTTCATAGGTGCACCATCTTCACCCTGAAACACCATTTAACGTAAGTAGCGATGGATGTATTCCTGTTGGATTCTGATTTAAGTGAGGAGACAGTTACACAAGTAGGATGAATAAATGACTAATCTTTGCAAAATAGTTGTCCGGCTGTGTATATTCAAACTGATCCCCCGGACCTTTAGATGTTAGGTTCGTGAAGAAGGGATTTAAAAAAAAAGAATTTAGACCACTAGGAGTGTGTCGAGGAATCTAATTAAAAAAAAAAATCTCTCAACAGTCTTTCATGTAACAGTCAATGATCTTCAGGGCCTTTCAAAAATGTAATAAATTGAATGAATGTCGCAATTTAAAATACTCAAAATTACGTTCTTCCTATTTTTAATCTCTCGATTGTCTCAAAGACCAAATATTGTTGTTGTTTTTTTTGGTCACTTCATGATTGTCCAAAATTCCTGTGGGGATGTTTATTTGTTTATTAAAATTTTCCAGCACATGCGTGGAGGGGGAGGGAGAACAGGTGGGTCACCTTTGTGGCTTTGATCATTGTATTTCTTCTATAGCGTACACAGAATTTTCCTCAAAGAAAAGCCCTGTGCCATACGATAGATTTCTAGTATCCAGGGATTCAGTGATGGCCTGATACTGCCCCTGTCCTGTCTGATCATGACCACTCGTCATCACGATAGCTGTGTTTGTAATGGTCTGAGAGTTGCTAATAGCTTCATTTAGAGAAATTTGCTGTGTGGCAGTGGGCCCTGTACCGTAAGATAGATTTCTAGAATCCAGAGATTCTGTGATGGCCTGATACTGCCCCTGCCCTCTCTGATCATGACCACTCGTCATTACGATAGCTGTATCTGTGGTTGCATGACACTGGGTCACATCTTTATATAGAGCACTTTGCTGTGAGGCAGTCAGGTCTGTGCCATAAGATAGATTGCTAACATCCAATGATCTGGTAATGGCCTGGGACTGGCCCTGCCCTGTCTGATCATGACCACTGATAGTTACAGTAGCTGTGTTTGCATTGGTCTGAGGCTGTCCCTGCCCTGTCTGATCATGATTGTTTTCAATATCTTCATACTGATGATCATGACCACTGGCCATTACAGAAACTGCCGTGTTTGTGTTGCTCCCAACAACACCGGGACCGGGATTCCGCCCTAATGGAGGATTCCTGGTCCTCCTCTTGTACCACATTACAGCCAAGAAGGTGCCAATGAAAACAGTTCCAGCAAGTGTGCCACAGAGAGAGCGAATGAGAACAAGAAGAGGGGGACTGGGAGCAGATTTTGGTTTATCTGGAGTGATTGCAAGGGGCGAGGTCAGTCTTGTTTTGCCTGCAAGATCTGATTTTGGGACAACATCAAACTTGAAGTCCCGGTGATAGTGAGAGTCTTGAGAGATTACATGTATATCGGTTTTTCGTGTTGATGTGGCTGGCTGGGGGGAACTGAGAGCAGATTCTCGTTTGTCTGAAATGACTGCAAGGGACGAAGTTAGTGTTGCTCTTGTTTTGCTCTTGTTTTCTGCAGGGTGTGCTGTTGAGCCAAGAGCGTGTTTAAAGACTGATGGGCTAGCATTGTTTTCTGTGTTGCCAACTGAAGGTGTTGACACTGCAGCTGAACAGCTATCAACAGATAGTGGTGATATGGTTGGCTCTTTACATGTCAATTCTTTAGGATCGACATGAGCAAGCTCCTGTCCCTGAACTTTTGGGGGTTGGGCACATATTATCTGGTCACTAAATGCAGAAATCGGTCTGACGGGAATCATTCTACAGTCACACTGCCAGGGATTCTTTTTAAGCCTTATTTCGACAGTGGATTGGAATAAGCAGAAAACTGATAGGGGAATGGTCGACATGTTGTTCTTCTGAAGATTTAATCGTTTGAATATGGACGGATTTCGAAATGTCCCAGGTTGAATGGTATTTATCCGATTGTTGTGCAGGTACAAGTATTGTAGCTGGTTCAGATTTGCAAATGTACCAGAATGAATGATAGTTATTTGATTGTATCCCAACCACAGCTCTTGCAGCTGGTTTAGATTTGCAAATGTACCAGAATGAATGGTAGTTATCTGATTGTTTGCCAGCCATAACTCTTTTAGCTTTCGCAGATTTTCAAATGCACCAGAATGGATGACAGTTATCTGGTTGATTTGCAGGTACAAGTATTTTAGCTGGTTCAGATTTGCAAATGTACCAGAATAAATGTCAGTTATATCATTGTTTGCCAGCCACAACTCTTGCAGCTGGGGGAGATTTCCAAATGTGCCAGGGTGGATGGTAGTTATCTTGTTCGTGTTCAGGAACAACGATTTTAGCTGGGGAAGATTTGCAATTAATGTACCAGTATGTTTAGTAGTTATCTGGTTGTGTTCCAGATACAGCTTTTGTAGCTGGGGCAGATTCGCAAATATGCTGGAGCAGATGGTAATTATCCGGTTGTGTCCCAGGACCAATCTTTGTAGCTGGGGTAGGTTTACAAATGTACCATTTTCAATCTTTCTTATCTTGTTGTTGTCAAGATATAATTTTTCTAGCATGGGTAGGTTTGCGAACGAACCAGGATGAATCTCTGATATCAAGTTCCCGCCAAGTTTCAACTGCTCCAGCCGTGGTAGATTTGCAAATGTGCCAGCTTCAATCTTTGTTATCAGGTTGTTTTCCAGACAAAGGCTACTCAAATTTTTATACTTTAACAGATCAGACTGCTTTACAGTCTCAATATAGTTCTTTTCTAATACCAAATTAGAAGAGATGGATGTTGGGAGGTTTTGAGGAATGCTGGTTAGGCCCTTTGTACAGAGTACACGTGAAAATGGTTCACACAGGCACGGAGCTTCTGGCATGTTGGGTTCTTTCAGGATGATGAGGAGGAAAAACAGCACGTGTCTCAGTTTTCTCCCCATGGTGTCCTGCCACCTAAACAAAACGGAAAGTTTCTTAGTAAGGCGACTCCAACTTTATCTTGGACATTAAAGTTTAAAGAAAATACTTAAATAGAAACATAAAGTCCGAGGTAAACATCTTGGTTTGTACAAGAGAAAAATGTTGTTACACTCAAAGTGTCATTCTGTGGCTAAATTCTAAATTCCTCTTAAATACCACAAAACAAAAAAGAATTCGTAGACCTCATACCTCCATGAAATAGGAGTTAATGATTTGTTTCATTGAAGATGCAAATAAGGTGGCATTTAAAATGATTTAGTTTAATTTATAGTGTTCTAAACTCAACTTACACTATTTTGCGTGTCAAACTCCTATCCTTTGGCAATATTTCATTTAAACATGCCCTCATTAATTATGCAAATTACCTCTATGTTAACATGATACATGCATAGTGTTGTTAACATTTAAGTAACGTACACATATCACAAGGTATAGAATTGTCATAATTCACCATTAAGAAACCATACAATTTTTTTCATTAATTATGCAAATTAGGTCATAATTTGCATAATTGGTATCTGTTGAAGTTCTATCTGCCATACATTACATATATTACATGCATGACAGTACTATAATGTAAAACACTGTAATTATAGAATTTCCTCATTAATTATGCAAATTAAGTCTTCATTTGCATAATTTGCTTTTAATCATGTACATCTCTCTCTCAGCTACCTACCTACAAAAATGATGAAAATACGTTGTTCCTATCTAGACTTATTGGCTTTTATAAAGATTCGGACGGTAAGTCCCTTAGCTTGCAGTTCCAGGATAAGCTGGTAGGGGGACCAAAACCACACCATTTATTGTTGACAGTAAAAGCTATATGTCACCAAAAAGTCAAGACCATAGCATGTTCAGTACAAAAGATACAAATACCGGAAGTTCTGCTGCAGTACCAAGGTCATCTACCATGAGGCCCCATATTCGACCTTGACCTTTGTCTTCTTACGACCTACCAACATACCTAATATCATCACAATCTATGAAGGCGTTCTGAAGTTATGTTGACTACAAATGTGCGAAAACACAAACACACACACACACACACACACACACACACACACACACAGACAGACAGACAGACAGACACACACACACACAGACACGCCAAAAACAATACCTCCATTTTTCATGGAGGTAACAAGCGTTCCATGACCTCATACGACCTTCGCAACATGATCTTAATCCTTCCGACTGAGGAATTTTACATTTCTCTTATTGATTTTGGAAATGAGAGCTGTATTTACATGAAGTATATCAGTTAACGTTGATCATACTCTCCACCTAATGACAATCTTATCTTAATTGACAAAAAAAGGCTATTATATAGCATCTTCTCATAAATCATGCAAATGAGATCCTGCTTTGAATAAATTATGCTTAATGATATTCACCTTTACTTTACTTCCAAACGCGGCAAGTATTAAATTCCTGGAAGTTATTATGACGAAATCATAGCCATTTTCTGTTAATTATTCAAAATAGATCCTCATTTATATAATCAACATCCAACAATGTTCCTCTCGTTCTCTATTACATATACCGCGGGTTGTATAGCCCTATTACAAACGAAACAGAAGTATAGAATGACATCATTTATTATGCAAATTAGCCCTGATATGCATAATAGCTATCTTATCGTGTCAAGCATCACTTCAGCTACCTATAGCTACGTACAAAAATCATCACGATCCAGCTACCGGTTATTAAGTTATCCTCCCTCGATGTTTCAAGAAACGCAGCTGTGTGTTACTGGTCGTGTTAAACAAACAAAATACTCGAATGAGTCAAGGGAGGTATTCCTACAAGGACAGAAAAAAGTTCATCAGGTTGCTAGAACATATATGGGCACCGTGATATGGGGTATTGGGATTTCCTTCAGCACAACTAGGGGTTGTCTTTCCTTGTTTTCCGTATCCATGTCTGTCAAACATCCTTCTTTAAAGGCTAAAAAGCTTCTCACTGAAGTCCTGCTTCTTTCCGCTATTTGTAGCCGATATACTAGTATACTATAGGTGGCGCATTTGCGGCTAGGGATTCCGAAGCAGAAGACTGTTTATACAAGATTCTGTGTAAGAGCTGCGAATAGGTTTGCATTAGGGAAACTGGATGAACTTTTAGAAGGTTACCAGGAGAACATAGAAAAGAAGCAGACAACACGTACACCGATGCTGCAAAGTACACCAGATTTCAGAAAAAGAAGAATGTAAATGTTTTCTTTAATACTTTGGTCCAAAAAAGTCCGGTTCGCTGTCTCAAATATCAACAGGGGAACCACAGACGTTCTGTGACTTATGACTCATAGGCCCTGAGTGACTTTTCAAAACAGAACGTGTATTTTTCCCTAGTTAGCTGCTGTGATTCTAAGATATGTGCTTCAGAAATTGTTTCTAGAATGTTCAAACGTGTGGGATACTGGGGTGTTCCTATGAATATTTCGCTCTGTGCTGCTCAACAGTTATACTAACTACCCGGCGGGGCCCCTGTTTTCACTTTGTTTCGGCCTGTTAATTGTCTGAGACTTGCTTTCTTGAATATTAATATTGTGTACTCTAAGACTTGCTAATGGCCCTGCTTGTACCTCCCAGACAAGGGAATCGGAAGAAGAGATTCATTTGTCACGTATAGATACAGTTACTATATAGAGGATTCTTTCATCAGTGACAAGTGAAGGATAAGGATGCTGACCTTCAAATTTTCGATGACTATCAATCCATCTTGTTCACGGTGGCCTAGTCTCGCGAGAAGGTTCTTATATCTGAAAGGGCGAATGCCAGGATGACGCGCATGCCCAGAGGGCCCCAAGTGGGTAACCGCAAGTACAGAAACAGTCTGAAATGTCTTAATGTTGGGATCTGTTGCTTTTTTGGAGCTGGATGTTATAGGTTAGGGTTATTTGCATTTGATTATGTTAAAAAAAATGGATCCGGAGTTTGTGCCATGTTTGGTGTGTCCAGGCCAGAAAGGAAGTCCTGAGTTTCCATGTTCTCATCAGCTGGTGATAGAGGTCAGAGGTCACTTCTGAAAGTTTGTGCTAGCGTTTAGATGCCTTTAGCAGTATAAGATTTTTTATATCAACAAAATGGACAGTTTAGAAGCCTAGTGACCCTATGAATGTGTGTTTTTGATGCGGTTTCACTCAGGCAGGTGACTTTTCACACCTTCTTTCTTACATGTTTTCCATACATTTCAATGGGACAGTCCATTACCGGTCTTTGCCCTGAAATGTCATTTTATATTTCAATACCGATTATAGGACCGTGTTTCTAAGTTACGTACTCTTCTGAATAATGAAATCGTCTAAAAACTCCTGGCAAGTGCAAACAGATAGGCTGTGTTTATTTTGTAAAGCCTTCTAATAGCAAAATGGTCGTAATATCCAATAGGACCTGCACTAATGACCTCCATGGAGGTAGCTCCATGGAGGTAGCTCCATGGAGGTCATTAGTGCAGACCTGCGGTTGAAATTTTCTACCTCCATGGAGGTAGCTCCATGGAGGTCATTAGTGCAGACCTGCGGCCGAAATTTTCTACCTCCATGGAGGTAGCTCCATGGAGGTAGCTCCATGGAGGTCATTAGTACAGACCTGCGGCTGATTTTTTGTACCTCCATGGAGGTAGCTCCATGGAGGTAATTAGTGCAGACCTGCGGCAATTTTTTC